TACAATAGATTTGGAAGTCCACAAGAAAGGCTTGATAGTAGGACGTCTGGTTTCTATTCATTAAAACACAGGATTGATTTGTTTTGGTAAACACATCACTGTAACAGTGCCTGGAGAGAGGGGGGGGGGGGGGCTTACTTCAGTTCGCGTGTAGAACATGTGTGCTACTGTCCCTTCCTATCCCCACTGCCCTCTGTTTTAGTATTGAAATAATTGGTTCTTTGGGGGTTCTGGGGTGTGTCTGATAGGTTACTAGTTACACCATAGATAGTTATCACTTTAGTATTATTTATTGGGTTTATGCCAAATACCCTTGCCCTACCCCTAAATACTGATCTGCTGTACATTGCTAAAGGGTGCCTAAGTGGGTGCATACCTTAATGGTTACATTACCGAAGTATTAGTTAATCCTTAGATGCGCTCTGGCTGGAGGCTGCGTCGCGACTGTCGGCTGAGGCCTCGCGTCCAGCGGCATTCTGCAGACTTTGCACTTTGGCGGTCAGTCGCCCTTCGCTTGCCTACAACACCTCCCCCTACTTTATTTAACCTTTTCTGTAATGCCATATGAAGCTCACACTCTATTCAATTCCATTTATTTATGAAAGGTGAAATTCTGTTAGATTGGTTGAATTGAAATTAATACCCTAATATTTATTTCAAGTTCAAAATACATCTAAACTCTCCTGCGACAAATATAACTTGTCGCTCTTTCCTTTATTCTTTTCAGATCTCTTCGAAGCATTTGAAGGATCACGAGTCGCTGAAGTATATTTCATTTAAGTTCTATAACGTATCGTATCATAGAGTTCAATTAAAATGCTCCCACCATTTCATTGGACATCATTAAACATAATGTGACTCCAGACAAAGCTAGTCAATTTAAGAAAGTGATTTACCTTGTTCTGATTTTGATGGGCCTATCCTACCTGAGTTCACAAAATTGGCTATAATATTGTTCGGTCCCTTGCAAGTCCATGGCTATTGTGAAGATATTCTACAAGTACACACCATTACATTTGGATAAAATACAAAAAATGAAAATTAGGATTTTTTTAGAGGTAAAAAAATTAAATTTGTAACACAAGATTTGGATTCTTTTTTCAAAATTAAAATGTAAGTGGCTTATGCTCAAAGCCGATCAGAGTCGAAATGGAAAAGGTATTAGCCCTCAAACTGACAAAAGTGTCAAAAACGACCAAATTGTCAATTCTAGGGGGAATAACTCTGCCATTTCGATTCCGATCGTCTTGGAGCATGAAACATTTTCGTTTCCTTATGTCAAGATGACCCTGAAACATTAGTTACCTGTGCACATTTCTCACGAACCCCGAACCCCCTCCTCCCCTCCAACATACGTAAGTAAATACTTAACCCATTCAAAATATCACTTTCGTTCCTTTTCACACCGTCGAAACTTTGTAATTCGAGTTCCGCAACTCTAAAACTAAAAATTTCACACTCGGTTAGACCATCTGACATTATGATCACGTGTGAGAGAATCAGAAAGTCTCGAAGTGGGCGCAAGGAGCCATTTGCGTGTTAGCGCTCTTTTCCACTTACTGTAGCTGTAGCCACCACCGAAACAACATTATCTGAAGCTCCCTCCGGCGAAAAAAGGACCCAATTTTTCAAATTAGTCCGTAGCGAACGAAAAGGGGAGACTGGGTCTCCCTTAAATTATAGATGTGTGGGCAAACTCGCATTCCGTCATCGGTACAGCCGTTTTCGAGAAAAAGAGGAACGCATACACGGACAGACAGACAGGCTCACGACCGAGACAACGCCTGACCCCTCGGCAACTTGGACTGAGCTTCGCTCAGCGATAAAGTGTGCATGCGCCATGGCACCTTTCGGCAGGGCGAGTAGGCAAACCTGCCCGCACCTGCATCTTTCCGAATTATGCGGTACGTATTCATATATGTCCATATTACGTTTTAATTTTATGCCCATATTCGTCGTACATCAGTAGTTGTTCCGGAAAAAGTGTTTTGCGTCCATCGCTTTTCGTTTGTACTAATCACTCTTGTTTGTTTTGTTTGAGTGTGAGTGCTGTTTCTTCGTCGCTGGAGTGTTTCTGCTGCACTTATTCCCATGCACTGCCTACCTGTATCTGCTGTTCTGCACTTGCTTCCCTTCACCGCCCCGTGAACGTAGCACCGAACGCTTTCTTACGACAAGCTTGCTTTTAACTACAGTGTAACAAATGAAAAACTGTTTCTAATGTCAATAGCCTCTAATCCGAATTCAAATTTGCTTCTGAATGAACGTAAACCGCGAAACTGTCTCCTGTTTTCTTTCATTAACCTAACCTTTCGCCTAAAACAAGGAGGTGGGGCGTGAATGGAGCTAAGCTCGGGTAAGGTTCGCGATTGCTTATGTGCTACTGAAAGTTTGGGAAGGACTTTAAAAAGCCCCGTTCCACTTATTTCCAAATAGGTGTCGCATGTTTAAACTTTTATTTGGCCGTAAGTAACGGAACATGAATATTTTTTCATGGGCGCCCGACCTGTGACTGTGACATACGATACAACGAGTCGGACTCAATAGGTTTGACGCGGGTTCGACGAGGGCATGTGCACAACATCCCAAAAAATGTGTTCTCAATTCCAGTATTGCTCTTAAGATTTTGAGCCCCATTTCTTGTTTTAAGGAATAATAACAACGAACGGAATAATTGGTAGCGACCCCCCCCCCCCCTACCTCTTCCATTCTAGAAGCAGAGAACCGGTTGCCTACCTAAGAGGCGGGCCCTCATTCGATTTAGTTTTGTTCTCTATTTTTTAAGTCTTCTGTTATTTTAATGCACTTCGCTCAGCTACCCCGTGCGTAATGTTAACGCACGGGGCCCCACGTTTAAGAAATTTCACACTTGTGAACTAACAGGACCCAGTTGTAGAGTGACATTTAGGGAACCGAGAAAGGGCCATACTGTCAAGCGGGAGGTACGCCACAGTACTCCAGCACACGGCTCTATGGACGTGGCCCCCGACTGGACTAGTTGCAGGACTGGACCAGTTGCAAGACTAGACCAGTTGAAAGACTGGACCAGTTGAAAGACTGGACCAATTGCATACTAGACCAGTTGGAGGACTGGACTAATTGCATACTAGACCAGTTGGAGGACTGGACTAATTGCATACTAGACCAGTTGGAGGACTGGACCAGTTAAAAGACTGGACCAGTTGCAAATCGCTCTTAACTGGACCAGTTGGAAGGGTGGACCAGTTGCAAGTCGCTCTTAACTGGACCAGTTGGAAGGGTGGACCGGTTGCAGAGTGGACCAGTCGAAAGACTGGACCAGTTGCAAAGTAGACCAGTTGAAGGACTAGACCGTTTGCAGTACTGGACCAGCTGAATGACTGTACCAGTTGAAAGACGGGACCAATTGAATTACTGGACCAGTGGCAAGACTGGACCAGTTAGAAGACTGGACCAGTTGAACGTTTCGTGATAAGTGACTCAAGGTCTTTGGATCCCCGTCCACCACTAGGTAAGTCGCAGTGCACACTTTCTTCGTTTGTAATCGTCGCATTTCGAATCCGTGGCCGGCATGCCTAAGTTAACAAATCTCTGCCTAGTAGGCATCCCGTCCGTTGAGTGCTGCTTGGTTTTAGCCCGCTCCTTTGCTTAAAAGCATATAAGCGGGCTTATGCCATCGACTCTGTGTTCGTCTGTCTGTCCGTTTCCCAAGAAGGACGTGAGCTAGAGGTTTGAAATTTCCTGGGTATTGTTGTTGTCACTTCTGGGCAACGGAACGGTTGGTGCTAATCCTGGCAACCACCCCTGAGTGGGTCTGAGGGGGTAACAAAGAAATAGGGGTTGGTCCAAGAAGTGGGAAAAGAATATTTTCTTATGGTCTCCTAAGGGGTAACTCGTGAAAGTAAAGCCCTATGGGCGAAAATTTCCGTTTGGCTCTATATCTCACCGTTTAGGCGCTAAAGCGAGTTTCTCTCACGAAAGTGGCCCAAAAATTAATATATTAATTTTCGAAAATATTGGATGGTCTCCTAAGGGGTAACTTGTGAAAATAGAGCCCTTCGGGCTAAAATTTTGTCCGTTTGGCTCTATCTCTCACCGTTTACGCGCTAGAGGGAGTTTTACCGACGAAAGTGGCTTAAAAATAAATATATTAATTTTAGAAAACATTTGATGGTCTCCTAAGCGGTAACTTGTGAAAGTAGAGCCTCTTGGGCTAAAGTTTTGTCCTGTTTACTTACGAAAGGGAGTGTTTCTTACCAAACTGGCTAAAACAGAAATATTTTTACTTTTCCAGAAGTACACTTCTGTCTGAGAAGTATGCCGTCGGTTCAAAATTTTCTTCTAAGCAGAAGAGTGGGCTTATTTTATGGTGGGACAATCATTAATAAAACGTGTACACTTCCATGCAAAAAAAAAAAAAAAAACACCAAAAAAACATTTATGTGTTGTTCGAACACGTTCGGAGTCAATCAGAGTATGTCTGGAAGTATATTTATAACCTCTTCTAGGGCTAGTCTTCTGTATCTTTTCATTGGTGTGTTATTTGATTCATAAGCTAAACATCAGTAACTTAGAAGGGATTTGGCATAACTTGCATGTATTCTCAAACTACGGCACACACAGCCAAAGATGTTCAGCGTATGAAAAGAATACTTCGTTTGTTGAGTTTTGATTACGAAGTGGACAGAAAAGGTACCTGGCAAAAAGATGGTCCAACGTGAGCCGTCACTCCAACGGGCCGAAGGCCCGTTTTCGGATAGAAGATGTATTACACAATGAAAAGTCAGGCCAAGCTGGGCCCGCTCCCTGCCGAACCGAGTTGCCGGTGGAGCGAAGCGGAGCTGGCAACTTGGTTTGGCGGAAGAGCGGGCCCAGCTTGTTATTTTAGGTCGAAGGCTTGATGTTGACCAGGGGTTTGTGAACGGGGTTCTGTTGAATGTCCACATGAACCCCCACATAAGCACCAAGTCGATTGCCGCGCCGCCGACCTCAGTACGAACCAAACCAAGGTGTGGCTGACGATGAATAGGAGTGAACTGAAGCCTTTCAAGGTCGCCCATCACCAGGCGCTCAGAGTGAACGACCCTGCTCGTCGTGTCACTATGTGCGAGTGGTTTGTTATAAGGGTAAGTTTGAACACAGGATTTTCGTAACGCTTAAAAACGCAGTTTTGTTGCGCGGAATGTGGGAGAAACTAATAATATTTTTATCATAGATCCAAAATGTCGCTAATCCTGGTGAGGACATTTTTGTCCGTGTCATCCTATTCTCGGATGAGTGCACCTTTCAGAGCAACGGAACGACCAACAGGCACAATGCCCATCATTGGTCATCCCGACATAACAATCCCCATTGTTTTCAGGTGAGATATTTTTATGCACCATTCGTTTATTTCTTGATTTAAAGCACCTTGTTTAATAATCAAGCCCCCCCCCCTCCCCCCAAACTTCCCACTTTAACGTCCTGTAAACCACTATTTATTTATTTTTCAGGATAACCAGAGACAGGGGCATTTTTTTGTGAGAGTGTGGGCAGGACTTGTCGATGACTTCGTGGTTGGTCCTTACATTTGGCCAAACAATGTCACCGTGACAACTGAAGAATATTCCGACTTCTTGGACCACGAATTGCCACAAATGTTGGACGATTTACCCTTGCAAGTTCGAGCAGAAACGTGGTTCCAACAGGACGGGCATCCTGCCCACACCTCTCTTGCGGCTCGTGCCATTCTCAACAGGGAATACCCGAACAAGAAATGTAAATTATTTCTGATTTCTAGAAACAGTTTTAAATATTCGTGTCTAATAGAAAATTCCCGTTGCAACGCCCGCTTT